ACCAAGCTCAGAGGGCACCAAGGACCACACACTCCTCCTCCTCCTCCTCCTCCTTCCCCACTCCCTTCTAGCACTGATGGTGTTAGCTAGTTGGGTAATGAGACATTTGCAAGAGAACAACCAAGCTCAGAGGGCACCAAGGACCACACACTCCTCCTCCTCCTCCTCCTCCTTCCCCCCTCCCTTCTTGCACTGATGGTGTTAGCTAGTTGGGTAATGAGACATTTGCAAGACAACAACCAAGCTCAGAGGGCACCAAGGACCACACAATCCTCCTTCTCCTCCTCCTCCCCCACTCCCTTCTAGAACTGATGATGATACCGAGTTGGGTCATGAAACGTCTGCAAGAAAACAACCAAACTCAGAGAACACCAAGGACCCCACAGTCCTTTTCTTTCTCCTCCTCCTCCTCCTCCTCATCCTCATCCTCTTCCTCCTCCCTCCTCCTCCTCTTCTTTCTTCTTTCTTCATTTTTCCTCCTCATCTTCTCCCCCCTCCTCTTCTTCCTCCTCCTCTTCTTCCTCTTCCTTCTCCTCCTCTTCTTCTTCCTCTTCCTCCTCTTTTTCCTCCTCCTCCTCCTCCTCCTTCCCCCCTCCCTTCTTGCACTGATGGTGTTAGCTAGTTGGGTAATGAGACATTTGCAAGAGAACAAACAAACTCAGAGAACACCAAGGACCCCACAATCCTTTTCTTCCTCCTCCTCCTCTTCCTCCTCCCTCCTCCTCCTCCTCTTCATCTGCCTTCTCCTCTTCCTCCTCTTCTTTCTTCTTTCATTTTTCCTCCTCCGCCTCCTCCTCTTCTCCCCCCTCCTCTTCTTCCTCCTCCTCTTCTTCCTTTTCCTTCTCCTCCTCTTCTTCTTCCTCTTCCTCCTCTTTTTCTTCCTCCTCCTCCTCCTCTTTCTTCCTCCTCCTTCCCAACTCCCTTTTAGCACTGATGTTGTTAGCTAGTTGGGTAATGAGACATTTGCAAGAGAACAACCAAGCTCAGAGAGTCACCAAGGACCCCACAGTCCTCCTTCTCCTCCTCCCCCACTCCCTTCTAGAACTGATGATGATACCGAGTTGGGTCATGAAATGTCTGCAAGAAAACAACCAAACTTGAGAGCACCAAGGACCCCACAATCCTTTTCTTCCTCCTCCTCCTNTCTTTGTATTCCAGTTAATAAATAATCAACCTGGGCAGTCATGATCCACACCTTTCCCAAGGAACTCTGTTTACATCCAGGGCAAACAAAAAACATGATAGAGTCCCTCTTTTCCCAACATGGAATCTGCTCTGCTTCCATTCAAAGAATCCCATATTTAACCCACTGGGATAAATTTCATGAAATGATTGATAAATCAACAAATATTTATAATGGTATAGCTGATGAGAAGATCAAGACCTTCATTGTCTCGGGAGACTCTTTGACCATTTCATGGGTGACTACTATCATGTTTTTTGTTTGCCCTGGATGTAAACAGAGTTCCTTGGGAAAGGTGTGGATCATGACTGCCCAGGTTGATTATTTATTAACTGGAATACAAAGAAAATGGGACCGACAGTTCTTTGATGGTGCTATTTTCTTTACAATTCACTCAAAGCAAATCCCAGGGCACAACGAATTCCTGAAATTCATAAAACCTCCTTGGATTCAAGAAGATGGTTTTTTCCCACTTTTCTGGGAACAAGTGTTTGATTGTTCCTTGCCATCTTCTGGTTTGACTGTAGTGGATGGCAACATTTGTACAGGAGAGGATAAGCTGGAGGATATTCCTGGGTCTCTTTTTGAAGTGCAGTTGACTGGGCACAGCTATGGTATCTATAATGCGGTCTATATATTGGCTCAAGCTTTACATGCTCTCTTCTTACTTCAGTCTAGTCATGGGGATTTGATGAAGCCTAAATTATTACACTATGAGGATGCACAACCTTGGAAGGTAATTTGCTTGAAAAAAATACTGTAACAGTACTGTAAATGAGGGAAGCAGTGGCTCACTGGCTAAGCTTGTCGATCAGAATGGTCAGCAGTTCGGCAGTTCGAATCCCTGGCGCCACGTAATGGATTGAGTTCCTGTTACTTGTCCCAGCTTCTGCCAACCTAGCAGTTTGAAAGCATGTAAAAAAGCAAGTAGAAAAATAGGAACCACCTTTGGTGGGAAGGTAACAGCGTCCCGTGCACCTTCGGCATTTAGTCATGCCGGCCATATGACCACAGAGACGTATTTGGACAGTGCTGGCTTTTGAAATGGAGATGCGCACCACCCCCTAGAGTTGAGAATGACTAGCACATATGTGTGAGGGGAACCTTTACCTTACTGTAAATACAAAGTTATGTTGTATGAATTAATTAGGGTAAATGCAACTATCAAAATGGAATAGAATATTTTGTCTTTACAAAAAATACCTAGTCTTTATGACTTTATTTCCATCAATATAATATTTTCCATTTTACTCTTTGAACATCTTCAGCATGCAAGCATTAATTAAGATCCGGATCATAGTTTTTTTCAATTCCCATAGTTTTTAAGCATTTCACCTATTACTGAAAATAATATGTCAATGCTATTTAACCTAAATAGCTTCAGTCCTTACTACATCCACAGCAGCCTTATGTCTGTGAAAATTTAAATGAAAATAAAAAAAATGAGATGGAAGCAGTGGTGGGATTCAAATAATAAACAACCAGTTCTCTGCCCTAATGACCAGTTGGGTAGGCGTGGATCGGTGGTCATGTGATTGGGTAGGCGCGGCCAACTCAATGTCACTTACGTTGATGGGCACTTCACCTTAGCTGTTATAATGGAATAAGGGTTAACTGGAGAGGCAGTTTCTGAAAGCAGGGCAATAAAGATTAGGCTAGAAACAACACCAGAATGTTTCCTTCCTGCCTTCCTTACAGGATTAGCCCTGTAAAGTGGGGGGGAAAAACAAAAGGAAATTTCTTCCAACAACCGGTTCTCTGAACTACCTAGAAAGTTAACAATTGGTTCTCCCGAATAGGGGCCACCACTGGTTGGAAGTCAGAAGCAAATCAGAAAAGTGAGGCTTTCTTAGAAAAGGTAATAGGGAACCTGATTTTGGAAACTGTTTTTCAAGTTGTTCACATACCACTTCTTAGACTACATTGAAAAGAAGGAGAGAAGAAGAAGAAGAAGATGTGGGACACTAGAATCCTGTTTATCTGGTGTTTGATCACTCATGCTGAAATACCTGATCTTTCTTTTACTCACAAATGCAGAGGGGGGGGGGAAAGGGTCTCAAGAGGTTGGAGAAACAGACTTTCAACATTTTCAGAGTTTCTCCCTTAGTTGTAGAATACAACTAAGATAAAATTAGTTGAGTAATAGCTTTCTATTATTTATCGTTCTATTTTCTTTTTATTCCCAATATGATAGCTCCACCAATTTCTTAAAGGCATGACATTCAATAATTCTCTCGGAGAGACCTTAACTTTTTATGACCATATGGACATGGAAGGTGGATTTGATATCATAAACATAGTCACTTTTTCCAATTCCACTTTCCAGAGACAAAAAGTTGGTAAAGTAGATCCTGATGCTCTCAAAGGACAGGAATTAGTCATTAATAAGGAGATGATTATTTGGCATAGATCATTTAACCAGGTACAGTTTCAATGAGAGTTTGTGTGACCATTTTCATATGGATTCATTTGGCTTGGAAATGTATTGGTGTCCTAGGTAACCCAAGAGAATTAAACAGATTAAAAAGAAATGACATCCCCCCCCCCTTTTAGTTTTTGAAAACCAACTGCAATAATATTGTGAACAATATTTATTACACTTCCTCAAATATTGAACTGAAAATTCTCAAATCCCACTTATCTCATGATGCTTTGATGCCTATTTTGGCAGGACCTTTTTGTTGTAAATTAGCTGATAACCTGGTTTTTTCTGGGTATTTATTTATAGGGGGCAACAGTAAAAATATTGGAGATATTTGTCTTAATGGCTAAGATCTCTGCCTAGTATGTCATATAGCCCAGGTTCAAACCCCAGTAAGGGTATGGCTAGCTGATGAGAGCTAAATAGCTTGAAATAGATCTATACTAGTCTCCCTTTATTTATTTATCAGCACAAATAAAACACACACACACACACACACACATATGCACAAATAAAAAAAACCACAAATATAACAAAGGCAACAGTAAAAATATTGGGTTGTGACGAGCCGATAGACAGATGATGGAAGCAGTTAGCTTCCTCCCATAATTGGGGCTTACCAGGGGTTGTAAAAAATCATATATATATATGGTGCACATTTCATTTATAGTATAAGAACTGAACTTTCTTCAAAACAATAAATCTTCATTTTCTGACATTATGAAATTGAAATCTAGGTGCTCCCCATCTCTCTGTGCAATGAATATTGTGAGCCTGGTTATCAGAAAAGGAAGAATGAAGGGAAAAAATTCTGCTGTTATGATTGCGTTCCATGCCCAGAGGGGAAAATCTCAAATAAGATTGGTATGTTAATGACTTCTCAGTTTTGTTGTTATAGAGATGAACTTGAAATATCAGCCACAGTGCCGTTACAAACAAACATACAAGAATTTTTGTGAATAAGTTCTGCAGAATGTTTGCAGCTTTAAGTATATCGTTGGAAATCGAATGGGGCAATGAAAACCAAAAAAAAAAATGAAGTTTTTTTTTTAAAAAAAACAAAGGAAGCAAATATTTAAAAATAAATAAATAAACATGAAATTTATGGAATATTCTTAATATTTCTAAATATGATAAGAACCTTTTACTCTTTAGTGTTATATGGAATATAAATGAATGACAAAATTTAAACCTTAATTCCTTTCATTTCCACCTCTCGTATTTTTCAGAATATAAGACACAACTTTTCCTTCTCCCCTGAAACAGGCTGAAATTTTATACTCTGAATGTAGCTTTTTCGAAGCTTTTTTCAGCCCTAATGAGGTGCTAGCGAGTGAAGTGATCTTCCGTGCTTCGCTGCTTTTCTCATTGCTTCTCTTTCCAATGATCAGCTGTGCTTTAGAAGCTTATTTTCAGCCCTAATGAGGCGNAAAAGGAGATTTCTTCCAACAATCGGTTCTCTGAACTACTTAGAAAGTTACCAACCGGTTCTCCCGGATAGGTGTGAACTGGCTGAATCTCACCACTGATTTTCATCCTCCCAAGGCTCCGGAGGCTTACCTTGAGCCTCCAGGAGGGCAAAATGGACCTCCCCCCAGGGTTCAGAGGCCGGAAACGGGCCCGTTTCCAGACTTCCGAAACTTCTGGGAGGCCAGTTTTTGCCCTCCCACAGCCTGCGGGCACTTATCTGGCATCCAAACTGGACTGCGTGGAGACTCCTGGGAGGGGTGGGGTGGGCATGGCCAGCCAGTCCTTGTAAGTACCAGTTCGGCGAACTAGATGTAAAATTAGCATCCTGTTCAATCGAACCAGTCCAAACCGGCTGGATCCCACTGCTGAATACAGGCAGTCCTTGATTGGAAGGATGCTTTCTTTTCACAGATGAAAAGAAGCTCTGGAGTTTCCTCTCTCAAACTGGGGGATGCTTGCCACAGTAGTTCTCAATCCCGACAACTTTAAAATATGTGGACTTCAATTCCCAGAATTCCCCAGCCGGCTGGTGAATTCTGGGAGTGGAAGTCCAAGAATTCTAATCCTGCCTTAGGCATGAAAGCAAACTGGGTGACTTTGGGTCCGTCCACCCCCCCTCTCTCTCAGCCCAGCCCACCTCACAGGGTTGTTGTGGAGGAGGAGGAATTATGTCCAGATAGTCCTCAACTTATGACCACGGTTGAGCCCCAAATTGATGTTGCTAAGCGAGACAGCTGTTAAGTGAATTTTGTCCCCTTGTGCGACCTTTCTTGCCACCGTTGTTAAGTGAATTTGGTTTCCCCATTGATTTTGCTCATCAGGAGGTCGCAAAAGGGGAATCACTTGATCCCGGGATACTGCGACCGTCATAAATATGTACCAGTTGCCAAGCATCTGAAGTTTGATTACGTGACCATGAAGATGGGCGTTAAGTGTGAAAAATGGTCATAAGTCCCTTTTTTTGGTTCTGTTGCAACTTCGAATGGTCACTAAATGAACTGTTGCAAGTGAAGGACTACCTGTATGTTCGTCGCCTTGAGTTACTTATAAACAGTAATAAAAGTGGGCTAGAAATCTAATAAATAAATAACTACACCATAAAATCGCCAAGGTTGGGGATTACCAATGTGAAAGGACCACCTGTCCGAACAGGTGATAATCACCTGTACTCCTGCTTCCCCCTCCCTCTCTTGGCCCTCCCCCCCATCGTCAAGACAACCCAGCTACCAATCCAACGGAAGCAGCCAAACCGCAGCAGCCAATCAAAGGATCGATTGGCAGGAGGCATTGGGCAGGAGGCAAGATGAGGGGGAAGACAAGATGGCTGCCTGAGGACTCGGCCACCACAGCCATTTTGAAGAGGAAGCTAAATAAAGAGAGCCAAACACAAGGAGTCAAATAAAAGAGGCAGATTGAAAGATAGACTGCCCCGTTGAGGAGAGGCCACAGAAAGGAGTCAGCAGCTGAAAAAACTGGGGAGAAAGAGCCATTTTATCCCTTCCCTCAGAGTGGCATGAGGGAAAAAAACTCCTAGCTATTTCTCTTAAGAGACTGTAAAAATAAGGAGGGGTGGGGGAGGAGAAGGATAAAGAATCCCAGGAATGAATAAACTGAAAAGATGGGGAAATAGACCAAATTTTAGATGTGAACAGAATAAAAAACAGAAACTTAAAAACACTTAATGAATTACAGGTAGCCCCCGACTTACAACGGCACGGAAAAAAGTGACTTATGAACATTTTTCACAGTTATAACTGTTGCAGCATCTCCACGATCAAAATTCGGACCCTTGGCAATTGGTTCACATTTATGACGGTTGTCGTGTCCCAGGGACATGTGATCGCCTTTTGCACCTCCTGACAAGCAAAGTCAATGGGGGAGGCTGGATTTGCTTAATGACCCTATGATTCACTTAACAACTGTGGTGATTCAATTAACAACTCTGGCAAAGAAAGCTCATAAAATGGGGCCAATCGCACTTAACCACTGTCTTGCTTAGCAACAGAAATGTTGGGCCCCAATTGTGGTCATAAATTGAGGACTATCTGTAAAAGTCCGATTGAGCTCTGTAGGAAAAATGATATCGCTTCAGAGAGAATGACTATAAAGATAGAGAAAGATTAATACTACTGACAGGGAGAAATCAGCCATAAAGTAACATATTAGCAATACAACATAGAAAGAGATGAAATTATAGTGAAATTAGACTAAAGAAAATATTGTAGATAAAGAGCTTAAAGGAAATAGTTAAAATTGATTGCTTTTGTACTGTCAAGTTGGTATCAACTCTTGGATTGGCCACATAGATAGATTTTCTCCTACTTTTCAACCATTGCTTCTATAACAGAATAACAGAGATGGAAGGGGCCTTAGAGGTCTTCTAGTCCAATCCCCTGCTCAAGCAGGAGCCCATTCTGGACAAATAGCTATCCAGTCTCTTCTTAAAAATCTCCAGTGATGGAGCACTCACCACTTCTGGAAGCAAGTTGTTTCACTGATTAATTGTTCTAACTGTCAGGGAATTTCTCCTTAGTTCTAGGTTGGATCTCTCCTTGATTAGTTTCCACCCATTGCTTCTTGTCCTGCCTTCAGGTGCTTTGGAGAATATGTCGATCCTCCTTATTTCTGTGACAATCTTTCAAAGATTGGAACACAGTTCTCGTGTCACCCCTGGTCCTTCTCTTGGATCTGAACAAATCCAAATCCTGCAACTGTTCTTTGTATGTTTTAGCTTCCAACCCTCCTGATCATCTTTGTTGCTTTTCTCTGAACTCTTTTCAGAGTTGCAATGTCTTTTTTATGTCGTGGTGACCAAAAATGGATGAGTCCATCCACTTCGTTGCTGGTTGTCATCTTCTCTCTCCATCCATCTTTCCCAGCATCAGAACTAGATCTTTAAGTTGTTTGATTGGTTGTGTGCCATCAAATCAGAATTGACTTTGAGCGACCATGTGGATTTTCTCCAGGATCTGTCCCCAACCTAGCCTCTCAAGTCTTCCAACAAAGCACCCGTCATTCTGTTCATCTCCCTTGATGCTGGTCCTCTTTCTCCCCACCCCCCATCTTTCCCAGTATTACAGGGTTCTCCAGAGAGCCACATATCCAAAGTAGGCTGGAGTTAAAATAAAAACATGCTTTATTA